TCTGTAGTTAATCCACAAAGTATCAAGTCAAATTATACATAACCCATTGTTGCAACCACGGCCAAAATGTACAACCTTCTCCCATTCTGACCGTGGTCAAATGAGAAAGAATATTTTGTAGCTCGATCATTAATATTTTGTAGCTCATTAAAATACTGACCATTTGCAAATAAAGCAAAGTAAGATATTTTACTTTGATCATGATACCCAGTCGCAGCGTAAGAAACACTGTTGAATGAATGTAAATTGTTCATTTCAATTGGGATGGAAAGAAACCCATGTTCACTTACAATGTCATATGACGTCACAATAAAGATTGAGGCATCAAGATAACGATTAGGAAATTTTTTGATCAAGCAGCCACGAGCAGGAGAGCTTCATGCTTACAACAATGTGGTAATGTACATATATAACCTGACCGACTCAGCAGGGTCCGACACTCGTCAAAATTTGGTCTCGCCATTTGGGCAACCTAAGATAATTAATACAAGTTGTGTTTTTGCATTAAAAAATGTAAACCAGACATTTTTGGAATTTAAAGATGTCTTTTAGTGTTTTATCAAACAAACATATGAGCAGAATCAGACATGCAGAATGCTAAAGTTTGTAGCTTAAAACATTCATTTTCACTTGCCATAAAGGCCTAAATATAGAGAGTCAAATAACCCTGGACTGAATTAATCAGGTGTTACATTACAGTGGACACCCAAATTGGCTGTGTAGCAGCAGAAAACGATCATTATGATCAGAAAGTTGTAGGGGAAATGCAAGATGTTACAATGATGATTATTACTATTCATATTAATAAGGTGATTTGACTAAGTTGGCATCTTTTATATCTGAAATAATACTTTATTAAAGACTTTTAGTAAAAATTGCATTGATCAGCTGATTGATCGAACGAAGATTTGGCAGGAGAAAAAATCTTCGCGGCTGCAATTTAAACATGTTGAGTGGGTTGGTTTTGTTACAGGAAAAAATGTTTTCAAGGTCTTATGAAGTTTAGTTTAAAATATTAAACATCAATATGAAATATTCCCAACTTGTCCCAGGTCGTCATTTGGGCGAGCCAGACTGAAAATCAGGTCGTCCGAAGTCATTTTAGGGTGGAAATGGCGAGGTGACGAGCGCGAATGTCGAACCCTGCGACTGATAACCAAGTCCACTCAAATGTACTTCACTCAAACGTAGTACATGTATTTCAACTTTTGAACCAATCTAGAAGTCAACTCTTAAACAATAGTATGCATGGTTACGGATTTTATCTTTGCAGTCTTAGTTAGGCTGTTCCCTATCAAGTACTGTCCTGTGTCTAGTTTACGAGTAGAATCTAGATTGTACTTAAGGCTTTAAACAGATATATATTTTTTTCAGAAGGCAGATATGTATCTATCTTGATATTTGAGCTACAATACAATGTCAATATGTATCAAATATTTGAATTGGTCATGTTGATCAGGAAGTCTTTTTTTGTATTGAACAAGATGTGTTTGTGAAACACTGTGCGGCTGGCGGTAACAAAGTTAAAAAAAAACTGTTTTAGCATATAGGTCACAGTCTAGGTCATAAGGTCATGATCTCAATGTCGTTTGAAAGAACTTTATCAGTGGAATATGCATACCGAGTATGAAGTCTCCGTCTCCTATGATTCAAAAGTTATGGTAAAAGTTTGAAAGAACTATTTTAAGCATGTAGATCACAGTCAAGGTCACAAGGTCATTGAAGTTGGTGTCTTTTGGAAGAACTTTTTAAGTTGAGTACGCATGCCAAATATCAAGTCTCTACCTCTCAGAGTTAAAAAGTTATGGCGAATGTTCAAATTGACAATAGACAGACGGACAAACAGCTGAACAGATAAACAGACAGGACATAAACAATATACGCCTCAGATCTATCGATCCGGGGGCATAAAAATTTTAAGAACAAACCATTTCTTCACAATTATTTATGAATAATTTTCATTTGATTTAAAAGAATAAGCTGTATACATGGTATATCCGCTGTAAAACAAAATTATTTTATATAAGTGGTGAGAATTATTACTGGTATGTATTTTTATGTAAAAATTTTGATTTTAAAATATGTTTATCGTATATAATTTAATTAACACAAAATATAAGTATAAACAAAAAAATGCCTTATTCTTTTTGCGATATTTAAATATTTTTACATACATATTGATATACATGTACTTAATCCTCACACAGAATCTTTATTATCGATTAATCATTTCAGCCTCAATGGCTCCTTTTAAATTTTACTGGAGTTAAAAGAGAAAAGATGAGTGTTTGAAACTGTGATCATTACTTTGATATTAAATAGCCAAATTATGTTCAAGTTGTAAAGTTACTTATTGTCATTTGTGCCCCTTTTTCATAGCATAAGTTTTAGTAGTCAGTGACAATTTATTTTCTTTTACCTGTAAAAAAAAAATTAATTGCTCTAAATGTGTAATATTAAATAATTTCCTCCTCAAGTTTGTATTTTGTATATTTGTGTGATGTACACATTACTCACTGTATAAAGTTAACAACTGTAGTTAAAACTGTATTATTAGCATTGTTTTTTAATATTTGGCATCTTTTGAAATTAACCTAATTAATGTTTCATATTTTTCAGGCCCATGACAGAGTAAACAAAGCAGAAATTCCTCCAGGATTAAAGTAGCTGGTCTTCTCTTTGGACCTAAATCCAGCTGATGAAATTCTATCTGTTAAAATAGTGAAAATTCAAGCCAGGAACTTCTGTTAATCAGACAGTGGCATTAAAACCGTTGTGATGATGTGCGCCAAATCCATTGATGACATACATATATACATTTTAAAGTTATCTCCCACTTAGATCTAAAATGAAATGGACAGAATTTAAAGTTTAAAGTGGATTTCAAGTGATTTGTGTATTGTACATAATTAGATATGAGATGTATGTACACATGTAAATAGAAATGCATCCTGCTCTTTTGTACAATCTTACAACTGTTCATGATGATTGTCCATATATAAATTGATTTTATACTCAATTATAGTTAAGAATAAATGAAAACATATATTTTACAATATAGTGTGATGTTTGTTTTAAGTATAATGTACTAATTGAGAGATACATGTTTATATGATATTCTGTCCAAGTTGTATTTTTAGTATATACATTTTTAAAAATTAAAATACTGCCCCTGATATTTTATTTTTGAGGACACCAACATTCCATGTAAATAGGCAATATTTCTGTTACATGTAGTATTCTTATTGAAGCTGAATGAAGCATACAATAATACTCTAAAAATAGATTTTTTAGATCACTTGAAAAAGAATATCAAACACTTATTGATGACTGGTAAAATTTTCACTGATGTGCCAAGATAAATGAATTGTAATGACAAAAATAGTAATACCGGTGTGTCCTGATTCATTTAATTCTTAATATTTTGAATTTAAATAAAAACATTTCTTTATTTGGATTTAATTCATTTAAAACTTTAATTGGAAAATTCCATATTTATAAATCTGCAATAAGAAACTGAATGTGGGGTAACACATTGTTATGTAGGGTATTTTAGACTGAAGTAAATCACTTAAATACACAGAAAAATTAGCTTGTAGTATTTTAAATGCCTGGGAAACACACTTTTTGACATTTTAAAATTATGTTCACTATCCATAGGATTTTAAAACCAGTACAGGGAATGAAAATGACTCCACCATCAGCATGAATTCATTAGGCCGAAATAAAAAAATACTTTATTACTCGTTTCCTTTCACCCGTCCTACCCTACATTTTACCCTCCGACCCTAAAAGTTTTTATTACATTTTCATTTTTTGGGTTACTATTTTACTAAAGTTGACCAACAATATTTACAGAACTAATACATCGTAAGTGTACTGAATACCTTTACTTTAAAAATCTTTTTTAACTCAATTTCTTGTTATTACATACTATATGTTCTGGCAGTTCTGCATTCATTGAGTTTTGAAAAAAAAATTTCCCAAAATAACATTTTTTCCCTACCTACCTACCCTAATTTTTTTGATCAGGGGACAGGAAACAAGAGTATATTTTCTTTTGGCATTATAGCGTGTTCGTTATAACCATGTTTTACTGTGTAGATATTTCTTCCCTTACATCATGATACATGTACTAGACAGTGTAATAAATACATTTTCCTAATTGTTTAAGCCAGTAGTTTAAATCATCCAATATTTATATATGCTCTAGTGTACCATAGATTAAGAGTTTGCTGCTAGCCAGATAATTCTTTTCATCTTGATGATATACATGTGAAATTAAAACTGTTAAGGGACTTCGACCCTCAGCCAGGAAGGACAACTCTTTAATTTAATTCAAAAAGTCTTTAAATGAAGCTCGAAAATTAAATCTTTTAATGCAACAATTGTCATTATATGCCTCTCAATGTGCTTCAAGGTTCTTTGAACTTCTCAGAAAGGTCTAATTAAAAGTAGAAATTTTTAGATACCAATGTTTATTAACATGATATGAAATTAGAAGTGATTTATGGAGCTTTGCAAAGAACCTTGAAGCACATTGAGAGGCATATAATGAAATTTGTTGCTTGAAAATATTTAATTTTCAAGCTTCATCTGAAGAATTTTTGAATTAAATTATAAATTAAAGAGTTGTCCTTCCTGGCTGAGGGTCGGAGTCCCTTAAGTACCGTACAAAACAAATTTCACAATTTTGAAAATGAAAACTTCACATGAAATTTACATTAACATTTTCTATCCGTTTTTCTGTTCTGTCTTAATTATTATAAATTAAGCGCCTTGGTAAAATGTTCATTTTCTGAAAATTTAACAAAATCCTAAATCATCTTTACCAAATTTTTCTTCTACCACTCCTTAGAAGCTAATAGTGCTGTATTAGGGCACAATATATTTGAGGTAGGAGACAAAATAAAGATTATTTTATGTTTGTTGTAGAACAACAAAGTACACATGTAAAATTTTAACTTCATAGAAACAATAAAAACAAAATTTCCAGTGTCTAAAAATTACAATTTATTTATAGTCAATGCCAAGTTAACCAATGAAATTATAATATAAATGAAATTACAAAGTGTCCCATAACATCTTTTAGAATTTTATGAAATAGTGTAATCATGGAATTATTAGATTAATAGTTTTACAATTCATGTCCCATATTCACTCTTTTTCACTTGTATTATATTATGTCAATAAAGTCAAATAAATAAATAAATAAATAGAATCATGGTGTTCACATGAACAAATGAAGTTTTTTTTCTTTATCACCAGTAGTTTCTTTCAACAAATTCACTTTCTAGAATTTTTTTTATTGCAAGTTATAAATCCACCATTACATCATACTGTTCATGTCCTCTACTGTCCCTGTCCTCTACTTTTAGGAATGAAGAACACTTGTCTTTTTCAAAAAGCAGAATTTTGTTTGAATCATCAGTCTCCGACATCACTGCATGTAGATTGTCCGGTCCTTTGAATGAAACCATATAAACCGAGTTCCATTGTCGCAGTTCATGTAGGTGTTGGTACGAAAAAGATCTCTCACTTTTCAAAGGTTTAGTGCTGAGTACAGGTTAAAATATGCAGCCCTTCACCGGAACGTGTTGGCGTCTTCATATGAATGAATTAGATCTAGATTCTTATGTGCAGTGATGAAGCAACAAAACTGTGGACTGTTCATAGCACTCCATTTCTATAAAAGTACAAAGAAGACAAGATTTATTTATTGATGATTGATCACCTTAATATTATAATAATTTTTTTTTAAATCTCCCACAATTTTAATTTGGGAAAAACACAAATTATACATATATTACATGGCTTCGAGGGCAGCATACCAGAATATTTGCCCCAAGGTGACAGGAAAGCCCTGGAGTGTTATGTCGCCCGATGCCGCAGGCAGAGGGCGACATAACACTCCAGGGCTTTCCTGTCACCGAGGGGCAAATATTCTGGTATTGCTGCCCGAGAATTAAGCCATGTAATATATGGTATATTACATTTTTAAGCATTGAACCCAAATCGATCATCGAAAATATTTGTTGAACACTATGTTCACATAATGATATACATGTACGTTGAGTATAATTCCAAAATATCCTGTCCTGTTTCATGGCAGAATGTTTTCAGTATGCTGACACTTGTGTTGATAACCTTTGTTGTATTTAAAGAATTTTTCTCCTCAAATAAATTATCTAATACCTCTGAATTCAAATAAATAAATCGCAGACGTTGACTCGACTTTTTACCTTTCGCGGAACTGTTTACGTTTGCTTAGTAACTGCCTCTGTGAATTTCGAACCCGACGTAATTAATATGCAGAATGATTGCACGCGAGGGAACATAACTGTGTTCGGGAGGGCAACATAATCGTTTCCGGGGAACATAACTGTATCCGGCGTGATCGGCAGTTTTTCAGGGCATATGGATAAAAATATTATATTTGTGATATAATGGGAAAACTTATTCAAAAATGATATATATATAATCATTTATTTTATAGCATATATAATTATATAGACTTCCTATTGATTAAAGTTTTTGTATTTAATTGAATTGAGATCTTATTTGCAAGGGTATAAATGGATTCATAAGTACATTTAAAAAATAAATTCTACATGTAGGACATACTAGCTGCAGATCTGTAGCTCTCCGAAAAAAAATATTTTGATAGACCGGAGAGATACAGTGCCACCCATTGAAAAAACTGTATATTCATTGCGCACAAAAAAGTGCGCTTGGTTCTCAAATTATTTCTCCATGTTTTTAAAACTGTAATCTCAACATATTACTAACCATGTGTTCCTAACATATTCTTTCACTGTTTCCACAACCAAACATTCCTCATAATTGTTGTTAATAATCCTTCTGAACCTGATATTGTAGTCATCGAACATTTTGCTTATTTATACTGCCATTTTGGTTTCAAAGATAATTCGGTCCAATATGCTTCGTTAAGATGTCAACTACGAGAGTACTTGATTGAGGATAAAGGAATTTTTTAAAATCTTTCCTTTTTTGCAATTGAGGTAAGAATTTGGAAGAATTAATCAAGAACCGAGCACACTTTTTATGCGCAATAAATATACAGTTTTTTCAATGGGTGGCACTGTAGCTCTCCAGTCTATCAATATATTTTTTTTTCGGAGAGCTACAGATCTGCAGCTTAGGACATACAAACTACTTTGTATACACAATTTTCCACTATGAAGATGCTATTCATCAAACAAGGAAAAGAATATGTAGTGAAAAGTTTTAAAATAAATGTATGCATATTTTCAAGCACAGATCTTCTCTCCTATATATCATAATTATTTTAGCTATTTCAAAATGATTTTTTGTACATACACAAATTCATTTTTCTGCACAAGTTTTTATAAAGTTAAGAACTTTCGCATTAAAAAAATATTTACACCAGATTCATTAAAATAAAATCAACTATTGCATTGGATTAATTATTACGTTTTGTTCATTACACCTCAGTCTATGATTAATTGCTTGCAGATAATCTCGTCAAAGGCACTGCGACTTTTATTTCTGACTTCCGTAAATTTAGAGGAAATTCGGATTGAAAAACTTCGTAGCATGTGTAGAATTCTGGATGTTTCGGGACCGCGATGTTTCGGGACCCCGACGTTTCGGGACCTGACAACACGTTTCGGGACTTGGGCAAACACGTTTCGGGACTTGGGCTAACACGTTTCGGGACTTCTATATATTTTGTTAAGGAAATGAAATAAAACTTGTTTACTTTTGTTTTTATGTTTATATATGTATAATTTCTCAGTTTTATACACAATTTATCATTTAATTAAGAAGCACAGATTGGAATATTAGTTTGCATGCGGCATGGAGCACGCCTGCCGAGAAAATCAACCGCCCGCAATGTTGTCTCTACATTTCTTATTACAGCATTTGATATACATGATATATTACCTTTATAAAGTATTTGGTTCGCCAAATTTAATTCAAAAAATATATTTTAGAATTAGGCTATGTATTGATTTATTTATAGTGTTTGATACGAGAGTTTGCAGAACTAAAACCGGGAGACAGTCGTAACTGCTGTGCGAAGACCACGGACGTGTTTTTACTTCCAAGACTTTCTTTCTCTCCATTTTAGTAACAATTTTAAGTGTTTGATTTCATATTTGTTTACAGAATTAACAAAGGCTCAAGCTAGCACATGTGCAGTAAAAACTTTACGTTTTACGGGTAGTTGTTATGTTTACTGTGTATACACAGACTACAAATCTCAATGAAACTTAATTATCGATCTTCGTATATACCCGACCAGTGCGTAATATTATGTGATGTTACATAATTAGGTACATGACACACTGTTTAAATGAAACTGTAAATAAATACTGAATATTATTTAATTTGCAAATATTAAATTTTTCATTTTACATGTACGTTGTAAAAGTGTTTAAAAGAAATTCCAGATTAAAAAAAAATGACTACGTTAACAGGTCAACTTAAGTTTTATTTTTTATTAAATTTCCACCTAGCCACATTAAATAGATAAAGCTATGATGAAATTTAGAATATTTTTAAATACATTATATCAAACGATATCAAATGAAATCATGTTGTTTATACCATTTAATATTCTTTTTTTAAAAGTATGGTATTTTTCAAAAATCTACATGTAGGGAAAATATTCTCGCAACATTTGTAAAATATGTTTATTTACAATGTTTTGGAAACTTTAAAAATGTTTTCGTAACATTTCCAGGGAGGAATCTTACAATAGATACTATGCTAAAACTTTTTGAAAAAAAAAATATTTGAAACTGTTTGGGAAAAAAATAGAGAAAATCAATCAAAACATTTTGAAAACCTTTATATTTTATTGAACTTTTGATGATGGGAAAATTATTACTATTATTTAAATATAAATATTATATATATATATATATATATATATATATATATATATATATATATATATATATATATATATATATATATATATTGTTTGATTTGTAATTATTTCATTTACCAATAAACAAACGATATTTTTTTTACATATTTTTAGATTTTTATTTTCTTAAATAATTTCAATAGAAACCACACAATCTTTTCAGTCCCCCATTACCGGCGGCGTCTTTATACATGTACGTAAGACTTCCCTATGGGATATGTGTATCTGGTCCTAGTTGTTGTTTTAACAATTCACTGACATATTTTTAAAGATATATTCGACGGTAGCTGGAGATCACTTGAATATTTTAAAATATATATCATCAACCTGAGAAGATTAAATTTTGGACCCCCCCCCTACTACACACACAAGAAAAAATAACTAATTAAAAAAAATTGATAAGAAATAAAAAGAAATCAATACAAATATTGTAAAGATTTATTCTTAGTCGTCTGTTATGAAACAAAAAACCATCAAAGTATATCTTTATGAAAATTTTTATTCTATGTATACATAAAAATTAAATATTACGTACTCTGTGTACTTAGAATAATATGCTATATCACCATAATAAAATAATTTGTTGAGATCCCGAAAAAATTTCTTTTTATTAAAGAGAAAAGGTATCTATGGCGATTAAATTATAAAAAAAATTATTTTATAAAGTTTAATGTCTGTCCATATATTTATCTAATGATACATTAATAAAATAAATAAATAATTTTAGCTAAATGTGTTATTTATTTCAGTATTTATTGAAATCCCGAAAAATTTAACCCAAGTCCCGAAACGTCTTGCCGCAAGTCCCGAACCGTCTTATCGCTAGTCCCGAATCGTCGTGTACCTAAGTCCCGAAACGTCGGGGTCCCGAAACATCTTGCACCCCATGTGTATGCCCATAAAACCCAACGGAATTTTGTAGTAATTAGTCATACTCACAATATCATACTTTTATTGTATTGTTTAACTGATTTTTCTTGTGCATGCCTAACTACTTACCCCTTTATCACCGATCTCAATCAGCAATCCGTGGCGTGGCCTCACCAGTGCAGTAGACTCCATAGCGTTTCCGTTTGGTGATCAGCTGATTCAGATTTGAAAATATCACGGGGTTATTGCTATTGAATTAATTTAATAATAATCTTAGGATTATATTGGCCAATTTGTCTGCAAGAAATACATTCTTTGTATTTATTTCCGACTGAAATAGGAATGTCTATTTTGCGGTTTCGTTTTGTGAAAATCAAATCTGTAGTTTTAGTAAACCAGGATAATCCTGATTTTAAGTAGGTCAATGCTGGTTTTAAAATAGGTCAATGCTAGTTCTATCCTTTGCTTGCTGATGCTGATCCAAGTAATGCTGTTTTTTTAAATGCTGATGCTGATGCTAGCTCTATCCTGATCCTACTTATGCTGATCCTGATGCTGGTTTATGTAACAAAATGAGTTCCCTGCACTGTACTGTGTTATGACATAATTGATACGGCATTCATATTTGACAAAATATGTCATAAATAATGGCATATCATCACTAAGACACCGAAAGCGTGGGAACACAATTTTTTGAAATCGCTTGTACTCCTTAATACTGTTACAAAATTAACTCTTATTTCCATAGGTTTGTTATGTCGACAGTGATTTGACTGAAATGAGACACTCTACCCTTTTAATCCTAAAGGATCTAGACAATTTATATCAAGATCTGGGTTTCAAGTTAACATTTTCATTAAAAAATATATAATTAAGATTATTTTTATTACCTGTTTTAAATCATGATACATGTGTTCTAGATCTGTAGCTCTCCAAATATGCATTTTCAGGGATGATCAAGGTAAATTTGGCCCTTTAGTTCCAGTCCTAGGATTTATCATGGGAACTATCCTCTATATCCAGAAACCACTCCAGCATAACTTCTTACAGACAATTGCTTCCATTGAAATGTACAGGTCTGGATGCAATCAGAAGGTATATATGAATATAAATATATATATATATTTTTAAACATTACAAAGATTACTCAATATTTTTTTTATTCTTATATCAGATAACAAATGTAAAAAAAAAAATTAAATTCAGATTTTCCGATGGTTTCAAAAGTTGGGCTGGTGCAAAGGAATCAAGGGCACACGATTAGCAGTAGACAGAATATGCACAGAATTTGACACAAATATCAAGACATGGAAAAGTTCTATAGAGGTGACTTTAATTTTTTAATGAGTTAATTAAAAAATAAATAAGTAGATGTATTCAGACCATTTTAATTGTGGTCAACTTGAATAATATAACATTGATCAAAGAATTCCCTATTATAAATTTTGATATGGCAAAAATGTTTCACATGTATGCATGTTATTTCATTATAACGTTAACTCTTTACAGTTAGAACTTGGTCACCATGCGGAAGATCACAGACCTGATATGGACCAACCAGCAATGCCAGAGTCTGACTCGGAGTTATCAGACAGTGATCAGCCTTCCTCTGATTCTGATAGCCTTGAGTCTGAAGTCATTCTTAGCAGTGAGGAGGATGCTGACATAGTCCCACTCCCTTCAGATGAGGAGGATGCAAGAGTCCAACTCCCTTTAGATAATTCCTCCTTAGTTGAAGAGGATAGACAAGATCAAAGTACACATATAATATACAGCACATATATCATTAAAGTTAACATGTATATTGAAACTTATTTTATATAAATACCTTTGATATTTTAGACCCTGGATATAGCATTTGCTGGGACAACGTCCAAAAGCTTAGTATTAGCCGACACCACCTCCGGCAAGAAAACAAAATGATGCTTTGGGCATTGTGCTCTGCTGCCAAAAACCGCATCTCTTTTCGCCATCTTGATGGGCTTAATGAAAAATGCTCTGTGAGAGATATCCAAATGCATGTAAGCTTTTTTAATAATAGCTTATAATCACTAAATTCTATAAACAAATGACCATGAGCTCATTATCATTATTACTTTTACTTTGTGAAAAAAATTTCATAGGTATCTGCTTTAATGTATATCGATCATAATGATATCATTGTTATTGAGTACATACTCAAATATGCATATATCACATTTCATTTACAGAACTACCTACCATCTGCTGGGGATTGGCAGTTATTGAGGTGCAGGATGGAGCATGTTGTAAAGACTATACTGTGTAAATATATCCCACAGTTCAGTGACATACAGGTCGAGGACATCATCCATCAATATTCAGAAATTTCTGAAAGAAAATCTGAGATAGTAAGTAAAAGTATTCAAACAGTATGGAATGCAGTACAAATATATATTGCAAAATATTTTTAGACATTGTAATGAACTTTATTTCAAATATAAATTATGCACATAATATAAACTATGTGATAATTTTTTCATAGGTGAATCTAGGGGTCATTCAGGAGAATCCATCCTCTGCACGTGGAACCCTGGAAATTTTGAAAATACTACACCAGTATGTACCAATAGGAGAAGATGGTCATTCTTACCCCATTCTTTGCCATGGTGACCAGCTGAGTGTAGAGAGGATGGTAGAAGCCAAATTGTCCATGGCCTTCAGCGAGGACCCTGATGACCAGCTCACTGGCCTCATCCCTCGTCCCCAGGGTTTCCACAAAAGATGCATCATCCTCCAAGACTCCATGAATATGCTGTTTGATGGGAGAAGTGTGGGTGACAAAGGGTCCCTGTGTCACATCAAGAACAAGTTCGGCTTTCGAAGTGTTTAGAAATAGATATCAGACTGTATAAATTCAGTGGTAGACTTTTTTAATTTTGTAACTGAGGCATGTGTGTGCATGATTGCATGTAAAATTTTGAACATCAATGACATTGATGACAACATAGATGCACTACCTCATGACAAAACTGACGTACATACCTTTTTCAATGAATTATGTGAAAAGGTGGTAAGGTTAGCATGGCCTCAGGTTGATAAGGAATCCATACGTCAGGTAACAGTGGTGGTGGACGACACCGAGGAGCCTACTGAGGACCAAGATCTTTTCCTTGATGACACTGTCATCTACTGGGAAGATGGTCATGAATTGGAAGACACACTGCCTTACTATGATGATTCTGAAGATGAATTTGGTAAGACAAAATTTAGTTCCAGCTGTTTCAACATAATAAGTCAATAATAAGGCATAGTATGGTATTTTATAGACAATTCTTTACTTACTAATAGATGAACCGGAGGCAGAGGTACAAGACAGTGGTGATTCAGTCTTCAACTATAGCCGCTGTTTACTATGGAGAGGACTCCTTCACATGGTCCAGACCAATGCTGAAAGATGCAACAATGGTGACCATATGATTGCAGACTGGAGGCTGGACATGGTTGAATTCTGGAACAGGAATCACAATAAGTACCTCATTTTGGGACATAGATTATTAGCAGGTAGTTCACAGTAAAAAAAATATTTTTAATGAAATTCCTGTTTTAAAAAATATAAATAAATTATCAGCTATTAGTTAACTTGAATGTTTATGCATGTAGTCCCTATTCATTTGTTTACAAGGTGTGAGTGGGTGTTTACCTTCAAGACTTAGAGAAGAAGTCATTTGGAACAGCACTGCCAATTTGGTGGGCAAGCCTGGCCACAATATTGCTCTGGATCTTGTAAATGAATTTCTAAATAATGAATTCAAGTGTAATTTTTTAAACAGTAATTACATTGAAATTCATTGAAAACTATAAATCTCTAATGATCAATTATCAGAGAAAAGCATATTCTGTACTTACAGCAAACCTAAGAAACTGTCATGGCCAGTACACAGATGCTCAAGTATCCAGGTGCAGCAAGATTGTGGGAAGTGTAGGTAAGGCCATAGAAGAGATATTCTACTCAGAAGTTGTGAAGGACTTCATCCCAAAGGCTGCAGCAACCGATGGCACCTCTAAATCCAAAATCAAGAAATTTATCCGTGAATACAGAGAAGAAGATTTATTTAAGGCAAAGGTGACAGACATCACACTGGTTTTCATAATTTTGAGCACAAAATAGCAATCAAGGATCCAGAGAAATTGCATGCGAGACTACAAAAATGTCAAAAACTTGGAAAATGAAGAATATATTTATAATTGATGAGTTGTCTAGGAGGAGTAACTTCCCCTGTTTTAGAGTATATTTCATATAATACAAAGTAATTACCTTCGGAAAATGTTACAGTGGATTATAGCTGCAGATCTGGATCATTACTGGGTGTGGCATGGACATGTGGCAGAGCACAGGTCACAGCATCTACACCTTAGACACTCACACTCTGCACATTGCCAGTGACATTCAGGAGCTAGTGGTGCAGAGGAATGACCTATAAAATGTTTTAAGACAGATTCCTTGAAGCATTTTACTTGAGACTTGTCCATCATTTTACACAGTTCCTTCATATTGTCAGATGCTTGTAGCAGTGACCCGGGGTCACATAATAGAGGGCCTTTGCTTTCATTCCATCACGCCCCGCTCTTCCGACCTCCTGCTAATAGTCCATGATTGAGTCACAGGCTCCCCAGTGAATGACGACTTCAATGTTTGGGATATTGATCCCTAAACCAAAAGCTATGGTGCATTTGTCTAGTCTAATAACACTTTCGGGTTTTGTAAACTCCTTGAGTATATAGTCCAGATCCTTGTCTGTCATTCCTGCATTGTATAGAGCAATATAGCTGGTGTGGAAACCCCTTTGTTCCTCCAAATAGGCATGCTGTCTAAGGTACCCTAGAATATCCCTGTAAAGGTTTCCTCCACGACTCAAGCTCCTATATTTTAATTTAAGTGCTTTGAATCAATATGAATCCAACATAATGGCAATAATGAAATATTGATGAACAGAGAAAAGAATACAATAAAACTTTTTGTTTCCTACAAAATATTTTTACCTGTCTGGAGATGCAGTAAATAATTTAAGCCGAGGAAGGTGAATCTTGGCCGTCATATGCTGTAAAATCTGGGGTGTACATGTTCCTGTTAATAGCAGGTATGGTACGTCTGGGAAATGTGAGCGCAGCTCACCAAGCCGTGCAAACGTAGGTCTAAATGTATCACCCCTTTCATTAAAAAAATTGAATAAATAATTTTATATATATGCCATATATATATGTACATTGTAGAAGATATATTGATAGGGAAATTCAGTGGAAAATTTTTTTTGAAAAATTAAGTTTAATATTAGATTCTTACCATGATTCTAATACATGTGCTTCATCAATAGCAATCAAGCACACCCTTTCTCGGTACACTTCAGAGCTCAGTATGAAGTCTCCCCATAATTCTGTATTCAGCAATGTCTCTGGAGACATGTATATGATAGAATAATCACAAGTCTTGATCCCTGTTTTGATTGATATCATAGATGTAAATTAAATTCAGTCATCAATAATTCTTTTATTTTTAAATTTCAAGTCCTTAATCTGTGAAACAATTTTTTTTGGTAGAAAATATTGCTATGTTTTAAAATAGTTGGATTTCTTTACATTTTAGGAATGTATTTTATTCACTTTTTTAATCATTTTTGTGGGTTGCTGATGAATAGTCGTTATATGTTGTATATATGTTATTGTTTCCCATTTCTGTCTGATTTTGAATCATACACTACAGTGAAATTACTTCTATTATTAATTCACAATCTACATTAAGTGACTAATAAAAAAATACGCATAGTTAATATTATATACCTTCAATGACTTCAACAGACATCTCCTCTCTGCTCTTTATAACCGCAGCTGATATACCATGTCTTGAATTATGCTGACATTGATCGAGCATTAGACTTTTCAATGGCGAAATAACAATACATATATGCCTGATGTTGGAATCAAGGTCTAAAATTAAGGGGGGTAACAAAAAACATATACTCTTCCCAAACCCAGTGGGGAAAACGCCCATACAGTGCCTTTTCTCAAGGATTGCATTTACCACAGACTCTTGTTGGTCTTTTAATTCAAAATCAAAATGAAAACGTGGTTTGATCTTATCCTCAAATAATATCTTAATGGAATCCGCCATATTTTCACGTGTGAATGTTAAAGCTAGTGTACTACGTCACCACTTATACACTTTTGATTAGGGTACATGTTTTCAGACGAGGTTAGAATGAGAAAATTAAATGAAAGTGTGTGTAAATTTTAAACGTGTCTGTTGCTGAATGTCTGAAAAAACAAGAACAACAAGTAAAATTCGTTGTCATCTTTTATTTTTTACGATATGAATTGAAATCGACAGGAACGGGTGTTTGTTGCTATTGTAAACATGTGAAATATGCCGGTTAGAGTTATTTCCCTTTGTCACGTGACCATAAACCGAGATCTCGCTCTCAGGTCAAGATGGCTGTCAAGAGGCGAAAATTTCAAACTTCTGACGTTCCGAAGCTGATAAGAGCAATCTGAAATATTTCCAATGGGTTTAAAGTGACGAGAGTAGTTCATTTGGGTCTAAGAAATTTTTAGAAACCAAGCTTTTGTGCAGTTGAGGTATGACATTGGAGAAATAAATCTGAAACCGAGCGCAACTTTTTGTGCGCAATAAAATTTTTTCAATGGGTGGCACTGTAGCTCTCCGGTCTATCAATATATATTTTTTCGGAGAGCTACAGATCTGCAGCTATAATTTGGGGAGCCATGTTACGCCCGTACATGCTGTCGTACTTGGAACTCTTTTGTATAGTGAAGTAATTTAGTATCTTTGGCGTTATTCTTATATTCATGGCGGCAAGCACATGGTGAGACAAAACCCCTCATATTGCGAAAGCAAGGCACAAGGAGGTAGATAAGTTTATTATTGTATGCGTAATTTTGCATATATGTGTAATTGTTATTGTTTACAGTTTCACGGTGAAGTTTGGTACTGTTTGACACTGCGGCGGGAATACCCGTATTTTGTTGCTTTGAATATTAAACTTCATCAGTATAAACCCAAGTTAACCTTGTTTTATCTGCGAGAGGGCCGCTCGATCCATAATCGCACATCTCTGTCGTAACACATCCAATGCTCACAGAAATAACAATTCCTCCGAATTTTGCACCCTTTTAGAAATGTTTTCGATCTCATATCACTTTTTGACACTAATATAAATTTTCACCTTGAATCTTAAACTACATCACTTTTTACTGCTGAATATTATTTCAGGGTCCGTTATCAGTAAATCCCTTCAGCTTATCCGAGATTCATCTCTGTTTCATACTTTAACGGCATACTTCCCAAAACAACTTAATTAATTGACAGCCAATCTATTTTTCGACACCATTTTTTATTGCAGATCTTGATATGAAATGTTTAAAAGCATGTTCCGCATAACACCGCCAATCTCTTTATCTGTTTAAGCACTGCTACAAGTATTGTTTGAATGGAACTCCATAAGAATGCAACACTTATTAAACCTCAACAAACAAGCATATAATATATAACGACAGGTTCCAATCCTTTTATCAAGATTCTATAGTTTTCTTCAGCTTTCAGGTCAAAGACATTCAAAACACTATCCAGACCTTTCTAATTTAATTCGGATTTTAAGATATTCTTCGTATGATTTCATGACTGTTCAGTACAATGGAAAGGGTTGAAATGACATCAGCACCATGTAGTTTCATGCTCACTAGTCCATGATTAAAAGGGGTGTTCGATTAGGCTATTGTTTTGTGTCACGGTTGGATATTTGAATGGGCTACATCCTATTGTATTACAGCAAAGTTGGATATTT